GGGGGTTGGGCGGGGGAGGCCGCCCCGCCGTCGTCCTCCATGGGAGGATCTATAGAAATGCAGGGCGGGCTCATCTTCTTCTTCCTCCGTGCTCCGTGGATGTACTCCGACTCCGGCTGGATGTGGGCAGGCGACCGCTGCTTTTCCTCTGCAGCCTCTTCAAAGCTACAGTCTCCATCGTCAACGGAGGGGCAGATCTCGATGGAGTGCCGCCTTTGGTTGTCTGCCCAGCTGGGCTTAGCTAGGAAGCCCTTCGTATCGATGCTGTAAAACTTCTTCAAGTCCTTCCCTTTGCTGCTGCCCCCGGACAGGCTAGTTGTGCTGCAGTTCTTGAGGGGCACTGGAGATGGGGCTGGGGAGATGAAGGGCGAAGTCGAGCAGCTCCCGGCGTCCGAGTGCTCACCCCAGTCTTTGGCGGAGCTGTTGATGTGGCTAACCTCCTCATCAGCCGGGTCGGAGGACTCGAGGAGGCCGCTCTCGGGGTTGGGCGGGCTGCTGGTGGGGCTGGGCGGCCGGCTGGCGACGCTGCGCTGGCTGAAGGTGTGCTTCCGCATGGGGATGCTGGAGTGCCGGTGCGGGGAGCATGGAGGGGAGTGCGGCGGGGGGGGCGGCAGGGAGGCAGCCGCGGGATGCAGTGGGCTTGAAGGGAAGGTGCTTTGAGACTGCTTTGCCAACGGTAGTGTCTCTCCAGGCTCCGCTTGCAGGCTGTACTTGGTGTCCGGAGTCTTCCCGTCCACGGAGTCTGTTGTAACGGCCTCCTGGAAGGTGAGGAGAGAGATGGGGCGAGAGCCTGGGGATCTCCCAGGCCAGCAGCAATGTGGCACTCAGTGATGAAACACGGCATGAGGCAGAATGGCTTGTGGGTCTAACGCGTACCTGGCCAGCCCATCCCTGCCCCGTCGTGCCAGCCATGGTTACACCTTCCCTGTCTTTCTGCAGAGTCTTGCTCTTGTTCTAAATTAGTGCCAAATCCTGCCTCGGTGCATCCAGTCTAAAGTGACACAGTGTAAGGCTGACACCAGGCTTCTCGCAGCACTAGCAAAATTGAATTGGCCATCTTCTCCCTATGCTTTGGCAATTCTTTAATAAAATAGGATATGCTCAAAGGTGAAAGCAGGCAGAAATGGCCTTTTCCATGTGTGTGACTTGTTGTCACTTAAGTATATTAAACTTTATGGCACCAGAATCAGAAACATTTTGTTCTAAAGGAGGGAATTCTGCTCTCAGCTCCAAGGAAACAAATCCTGGTGATAAGAGGGGATTGGAGTACGAGAAAGGGACCCAGGTGCTTACAATGGAGACTTTACCTCTGCGGGGTCTTTGCCTCCTACCTGTCTGCACAGCAGCTTGTTGAGAGTAGGAGATCGAGGGGCGACATGCGGGGAAAGGATCTTCCACCGGTGGCGGCCTTCATGGTTGCGAGAACGAGCAGCCAGTTGGAAAGACTCTGTTGGGACTCTCAGAGAGGAGCACGTTCCCACGGGCTGGGAGCGGATGGAGGTGATGGATCCTAGGAAACAGAGACAGAACAGTCACCACCACCACTTTTGTGGCAGCCGTGAAGTTTTGAGGTAGAACTGGTGGCCACAGACTCCAGCGTAAATGCAGGAGGGGAAAGGAAAAGCCTATCCAGGCTTGCTGAAATCTCACACCTCACCATAAGCCTTGGGCAGTGCCTGGATTAAAACCTCCCTTGTCCCATCTCCTACTTTAAATGCTAGGCCATATCTCATGAATGGCAGGAAGGTTAAAATAAAGTGTCCCCTGCAATTTGGCTGCTCTGCCCTCTGGCAAATTGCCCATTAAAAACCTCATACCCGTAGGAGTGTCTGTTTTCTATTTCAGATGACAGGAATCTTCTCTTGCAACTGCTACGATGTTCCGGGTGGAGAGACGGCCACTAGGAGCACACGGCAGCAAATGCGGGGCAGGAGGTGCGGTTGCATTTGAAGCCCCGTAATTGCCACTTTCCCCGTAGCATTGACTTAGGGTGGATCTGTAAAGGGATGTGGCCTCTTTGAAGAATGTGGATCAGAGGAAGTCTGGTGGCTGGGCCAGGAGCCTCTGAGTCAGGACGCCTGGGTTCTCTTTCCAGCACTGCCAGCAACTGGCTAACTGGCTTGCAACCTTACACTGCTCTGTTGCAAATACCTTGGAGGCAATAAGAGCATCACTCACCTTCCTCAGAGCCTCCAGAGCTCGACTGACAGCTCCAACCTGGAGCCTTGTAAAGGCAGTGGGCACCCTGCCATTGACTTCTCCTGGAGGACACTCACTGCTAGTATGCCCAGGGCAGCTTTCCCTTTCGACCAGTACACTACCACTGCTGTCTCTCCACGAGTCAGACCTTGGCTGAACGTGTTGTGATCAGCAGCATGGAGACCACTTCAAGCGCTTTGACAATCCCCAAGCTCATGTATCAGGCAGGAATCACTCCTTCCCGAAGGCTCTCAGTCTCCTGGCTGAGTTTAAAGGTAATCCCTCCTCCCCAGCCCCTTTGGGGTGCTGCTTTACTGCAGTTCTGCTTTGTTTGAAAGATCTCTTGGTTTTTTATTTTTTTGGCTGTAGGATTTATTGTTCTCATTAGCTTGAAACCCAACGTCTGTTTCTACATTGCTGCTCCATGTTAAAAACATAGCTATCCATCACTTTAAGAGATCTTGCCCAGAGGTCAGGGAACTTGAACCTGTGACAAAAGCCATCCAGACAGTTTGCAGTCGCATTTCAGAAAGAGATTTGTTGTAGGAAAGAGAGAAAATTTAGCGTTTAATCATTTTTCTTTTGGAGCTTTTCTCCAGAACACCAGACAAAGAGCAGAACAGCGAGGTTTCCACCCCTTACCTGCCCCACTTCTTCCTATTTCATTTCCGGGCTCTCTGATAGCCAGAGTCTCAGTTTGAGTCTGTACCATCCATGTACCAATCGAGGCTTTAGGAAATGTTTCTTATGATGCAGAAAAAATTTGTCATAAAATTTGTCACAAGCATTGTCGTAAAATCAAAGCCCTATACTCTCCTCCCCATCCTGGGCTGGAATTTCCCTCTGTTGGAAACTTTCCATCTAGCACTCATATATGAAACCAGAAAGCCCTCTAAACTGCATAGTCAGGAACACTGAAAGAAGCCAAATGCCTCAGGATTTGTATATTTTTCTCTTGCTTTTCCAATAAGTCATGGAACCGAGTCTAAGACCAAAATAATACAAGATCTGGTCATCTCACACTATTTTCACTACGTAGATACCAAAATATCGGGAGAAGACTGGACATCCTTAAATGACATTGAAAAGACCGTGAAAGTACAAATGCCAATTCTAGTCTCTATGCATACTCAGTTTTACTTTCACTGCAACTTGTCACTTAACGTCACTTAAATCGGAGCTTGGTCTGGTCAGGAATAGCACAGCTCTAGGTGATGCTGATCGAATCAGGTCAGAAAATAGTAGCCCCACCACAGCCTTTTCTCAAATGTCCTTGGAGAGAAATTTGGGAAAGATAAGAAAATTCTTGGTCAGTTCTACCCACCCCTGCCAGCATCACAGCATTTTTATACTAGTATAAATCCTGATTTACATTCACTACAGAGATGAAAATCATCCCCAGTAGCCCAGCCATGAAACTCAACCTCTGTTTTCTTTGCTTAGCAAAGAATTTGCAGGTGAAATAATAATAAATACTGAGCAGAGAACATTAACTGGTATCCAGAGAGTTTTAACAAATATAGAGTTACTTCACCCAAGGAAATCAGAGCAGATCTTGCCAGCCCCACCAGGCTTTGCAAACCCACAACTCATCTGTCCAAGCAGTTCTTGCATTTCAGACAACATTGAATCAAAGGAAACCAGGCTGGTGAGTTCTTGGGAGCCATTCAAGAAGTACATGTGCTTTAAGGAGGGAGGCAGATATTTTCTTTCTTATTGATTTCTCCTTCAAATCAACTCACACAACAAAGCAGAAAGAAAGGCGTTTTAGGTGAAATGTATTTGGATGCAGTTGTGTAAACTTATACTCAAAGCCTTTGGGTAGCATGCAATTCCCTGACTGCAGGGTCTCTCCACAAGACTCATTATAAGGCCAAGCTACAGAGGCACTGGAGAGTGGTTTCTAATCTTTATGCTCCCAAAGAAACTCCTCCGTCTGCGAACTCAACATACTGTGCTAAAAAGACACTGCTCTGAGACTGAAGACTACCTGAAACAACAGCTGTAACAGAGCTCTATCAGGAAGTAATACCAACTCCAGAATTTCTTTAGGCTGATTTTATTGATTTGTGTTCATGATGTCATGGCTGATCGCTTCAGAAAAAATGTGCAGTTAATATCCTTTTGCTTGGCTAACAGCTTGTTCTCTATGCCTCTCATATTGCTTGGGTGCCCCAACTCTCCCCAATCAAACAACCAAACCACCAGCTTTTTCCTGAGAAAATGCAGTTACGTGATGAAAACACAAAATTCTGCAGCATGTGGGAAACCACAGTCCTTTGCATGGCACCAAACCAAACAAAGCAAGCCCTGGCGCACCCCACGGTTGGTGTGGGCTGCATGCCTCTCCTTCCCATCTAACCGGCACGTGTGGGGGTGTGGAGCTGTTGTACCTGCTGCCCCGAGGGTTTGGCTAGTGCCGCGTGAGGAGGAAGGGGATGCTCCAGGAACGGTACCTCTTTGAGATTTGCAGGGATAGGTCTCCATCTCCACTTCGTGGAGGGGGAAAGGGGCTTTCGCTGGCATCACAGGGCGGAACATATAGCTGTCGTTGGGCAAGGAGTGCATCCGGGAAACGGAGATCTTGCGGACTGTCAGCAGGTTCTGGGAGTCCTCTGGCCGCAGACAGGCTGCACTGCCCTGCAAAGCAAGGAGAGAAGGAAATACAGGTCATTCAGCATCTTGGTGGTGAATTTACAGCAAGCTCCCTCTCGTCTGCTTTTTGCTTTAAGACCTTGTGCAGATGTTCCTCTTGGCATCTTACAGAGTTTGTAGTCCTGGTGATTGCAATAGAAAACCACGCTACCTTGCGGAAGCTCAGTAAAGAGCTACAGTTATGCACTGAGTAAAAAAATGCATCAATGACCAACCACAGAGCTGACTCTTGGACACTGCAAGCTAAAAATAAGGTCCAGGAAAATGGGGCCTACCCTCTACATACATGAGAAAGCCAGCATTTTTCAGTTACATTCTGATTTTCCAGGGGGTGTTTTCAGCGTGCAGCCTGGCCTGTGCAGCAACTAACCCCTGTCCTCAGAGCCCCTCTGGGAGAGATGGCCAAATGGCGAGTCCCAGTCCGTGCTGACTGAGGGTACCAAGTGCTTCTGAAAATTCAGGTAGTATCCCCCCCGCACACACACATACATGGGCAGACATGTAGACAGACGTACACCCACATTAAAACCTCTACAAACACCAGGACCTCTCTCCTACAACACAGAGCATTTTGGGCACCAGTGACTCCAGGAGAAGGTAGCTACATGGCAGGAGGCGGAGGGAAGAAGACACACAGCATGGCACGGCAGCACGTGTGTGGGTGTGGGATAGATAAGGGATTTTTATGTCTCTGTGTGTGGTTGTCCAGCAGGGATTGGGCTGGAAGTGGCCAGACAGAGCATGTCCCCTAGCTGCTTCTCCGAGGCCCTCCTCACTTCTGCTAGGTCACCTCGACAGCACATATCTCACAGCACATTTATCCTGGGGGCTCAGAAAGCTTTAAGGACTCAAATGATGCTTTGCTGATGGAGCAGCCGTGAGAGGAGGTACTGTGACTTGGCCAAGCGCAGGGGAGTGGGAGCCCTTGGAACAGGACCTGCAACCTGGCGCCTTGCCCCGAGGTTTTAGTCCTAGACACATTCCCCTCACAATTTACCAAGTTATCTAAAGTACGACTAATCAATCTGGTTTTCCTTTAACGTCAGCCTCCCAGTGACTGATTGAAAACATTTTCCCAGCTGTGTGTCTTAAATTATATGTATTTTGCTTTGCTCCACCAGGCTGTTTTCCCTCTGTGCTAGCAAAATCCGGGCCTGAGATCTCTAGCTGGATAGTTTGGAGGTCACCAAGGATCTGGTTAAATCTGTTTTTTCCATGTAGTCCTAACTCAAAAATTTCTCTCCTCAGACCCCTAGAGAAGCACATGCTGAGATAAATTACTTGATGCTTTTACCCTGTTGCACTTGGCTGCGAAGACAGGGGGATCAGTAGCAGTTATTTACAGGTAGATGGCATCAAGCGCTAACTTCAGACTTGCCCAGCAGACCTACGGGTCCAACCCAGACCTTCCGTCTGCCATGTGAACGTGTTAGCAACGTGGGCTGTGCCAGTTGGCCTTTGGCCATCACAGCTAATAAGCTATCAGCTTTGCAACACCTGAATACAGACGTGCAATTGCTGAAACCTTTCTGCCATGAAGAGGAAAAAAGGCCTTGCTCCCCTTTGTCAGTAGTCTTTAACAGAAGGATCACAGTATTTTTCTACCAAATCTCAGTTCTTGCTTACAGCCTTTTAAAATGCTCTTTCCTGGCTGGGACTAATGATCAAAAACCTCCTCTTGACATAAGCAATTGTGATTTTTAAGATTTCAGTTACTGAGCCCCAATTAATGTAGGGACTCGGGCAAATTTCTGACAGTTTCAAAGGCACTACTAGAAATTCTTTGAACCATGGAAATATTAAGCATGTGCAAGAAGTCTGCTGGCTCACACCTGGTGTGCTGCTCTCGACAAATCGGAGGATTTGGGGAAACACCAAAAACACCTGCTTGGTGGGAAAGGCCTGATGCGCTCAGGAGCCTGATCCTGTGCCCTTGGAAATCAACGTGGTTCCCTCAAATCCCACGAATGCCCAATCTGAACTGGCACCGCCAGGAGTGCATTTGGGGAATGCTGCATGTCGGTGCCAACCCATGTGTCCCCCCCCTATGAGAGTGGGGCATCGCTGACAGAGACGTGCAAGGTGGGAGTCTACTTGCTGTGGGACCCCTCTCAGGGGGAGCAGAAAGGCAATAAATTGACTGCAGATGGTCTCGGTGATGCAGCTCAGAGATCTCAGTTAAACATCTTAAATCAGTGAGCCAAGCTCTTGCGCCTGGGAATCAATAATCTATTGGAGCTCTGATTTTGCTCTAGTGCAGAGGGAACACAAGAAAAATGGTCCTGCAAATACCTCAACAGGACATGACCCTTCCTGGGTGTTTAAAAGAGTCAGAAGTTACTCTGTAGGCAAAGGAGATTTGGAGGATATTCTGGAACAGGGAATGCTGTTACTTCTCAAGAGGCCTGGAGTGAACAGGCTGCAAACAAGTCGTGGGCATAATTCCTGGAGGAAGGGCTCCTCCTGACCCCTCTCACCCACGCTTGCCAAAGGCACGCGTCTCCAGCACTGTGAGTGAGCTCAGCCGCATCCCGCAGCCTCTGTGATGGGGAAAGGAGAAGGTGAACAAGGGCAGGAGTTAAGTCTTAGCTGGTGCACGTCAACGGTGTGCGTCCCTGCACAAGCCGACTCTGGTGGCATAAGGGGTCGCTTCTGTCAGTCCCCGCAGAGATAACAAGCTTTCTGCTCGGCCAGCAGAAACCTTGGGACCCCTTGCAGTTGAATTTACAAAATCCCAGTTACTGCCTGTCTCTGAAAGATGCCTTTCGCCGAGTTCTCCCTTTCAAGCTAACACGAAGCCCCTCAGTTTCCTGGCAGTCAAGCTAACAGACACCTTGCGGGGCTACAAAGGGGGACTTCTTTGTGGATTATTCCTTCATATGGCTTGCTCCCTTTCTTGCACAGGGAAAACCTGCTTGGTCATCAAGAGCTGAAACTGAGCCCAGAATTTGCTTGGACATCTTGCTAGATACTTGCCATTAGACAGTGCCTTGATATTCATGATAGAAATCAGCAATAAAGGGGAAAACAGCCCAGCTCTAAAGCAGATTAATGCTGGGTGGCTGCTGCACGTTCTCTTTGATCACAGCAAATGTGCTCCCCCTTGCAACATGCACATCTTCTTGGCAAAGTGCTAGGTTGCCTCTAGCTCGCTCTTCCAGGCTCATTCGTTAGTGTTGCCAAACGACAGTGGCCAACTCTGAAGCCTGTTAATTTAGGGTGGGCATGTTCCAAGCAGTGTCCTGAGAGCTCCCCATCAGCTGAGAGCTGGGACAGTTGCTCCTGTGGGAATATGCATTTGCTTCTGCATGGCCACAGCAAGAGCAAGTTCAAGTGCTAAGAGCACCTTCATCCTGGGGAAGGGGTCTTCAGGAGGCAGGATGAGCGAAGGAAGAGATGGAAAGGAAATGTTCACCAGGCTGCTCCAAAGGGCTTTTAAGCAGTGACTGAGTTACAGGGCAGATGAAGTGCAGCAGCCAGTGCAGGCATGATGCTGTGCTGCCTTTCACATGGCAATGTGATGGGACAGCGAGAAGTGCCCCCTCAGGGCAGCTGCTGATTCACCTCAACAGGCTTCTGCAGCTGCCCTGGGCTGACTGCAGAGACCCCCGTGCTCTGAGGCTTGCATCAAGGTCTGGTCACCTGGTGGTGGCCCAAGGCTGACCCTGGTTCTGAAGGAAAAGGACTGGAAGCAAAGAACGTCAGCGCAGGAAATCGCCCGCTGTTAGCACACGCTTCAAAGGTCATTTCTTTCGCAGCAAGCAGGAGACACTGCGGCTCAATGTGATTCACTGGCCCTCCTTGGTGCCCGTCTGAGGCTGAGAGCATGTTCTCACACCCACCTGAGGACATCTGGAGCTGATTCGCCCCAAAGAGCCGCCCGACAGCAGGGTAAATCTGAGCAATACCCTTACGTGATGTGAACGGGCATCAGTCCGTGGTGCAAACAGGAGGGATTGAGCACGGGGGCTTCCAGCCCAGCTGGGTGATCTCCCCAGAGCAGCTCCTGAATCCACAGCTCTGCTACTGGCTGAAAGCCTGCCCTAAGGTTGTGTATGGTGGGTAAATCAGGATGTTGACTGTCATCTCACAGATCCGTGGGCCCTGCAGTGCCCAGGCTGTGACGACGTGTGTTGATTTACTTATGCCTTTCTGTCTCCTCAATGCTATATTACAAACAGTTCTTACAGTAACAGTAAAAAACGCAAATGGTCTGTGTTTCTACTGCAAACCAAGAGAAGACTCTGCGTGGGCCTCCAGCTCTAGCTATACCACTTGAAGACAAACTGCTTAAATATCACATTACGCTTTAAATGCAATATTACTTTTGGCTAAAAAAAGTATTATTTCACTCATGTCCCATATAAGGCTGTTGGCAGAATCATTTAGAATATCCTTTTTACCCAGCTACTGAACACGTAAAGGCAGTACGAAGGACAGAGGACGGAAATGACTGTTCTGGCTGTGAAGCGACAGTTTAGGACAATTCACACACCACTGCTAGCTGCACAGCACCAAAGCACAATGCCACAATGCAGAAGCAACGGCGCGGCGTCGTTCACCTCAGCCTCGTGGCCTGGGATTTTGTGGGAAGGTGTCAGGACATGGTGGGAAACAGAGCAGAAGGTCGAGATTTCCATCATGGGAGTCTCTCCCCCCTCCAGCGTGTCTGAGTCTGGGATGGCTAAAGACACATTCTCACAGCTCAGCGTCTCCTTCAGGTACAAAATTAGGGAGATAAATAGCATCAGTAGCAGAGCAAGGCTGGGTCTTACGCTTCAAGCCCTGTGTTTGCTCTGCTTGCCCCACTCCGCCAGAGCAGGAAGGAAGAGAAAAGGAAATGCAAGCTGCAGAAACGGCAAGAAAATACAGAGCATCTTGTAACACCTTCTAGGGTACCCATGCCCACCATCACTGGCAGGATTAGCCATACTGAGCCCTAAGTATTCACCCTCTTCAGTGCAGCTAGTGGGGACCACGCTGCTGAGCTGCCAGCCACGCAGGCCTGCCTGGAGAAACCCATGTGTCAGAGATGCATCACCGCGAGCGACCCAGCCCTACTGAGCACGGTGCCAGGCAGGATGCTCCTGCTTTGCTGCCACGTAGGGGAGGAGAAGCCCCGGCTTGTAAATCCTCACCTGGATTCAAGCAATCTCATCCTCAGTGGGAAGTCTGCAGTCAGCTGTCTGCTCACTGCGTTCTCTGTCTGAGGAGCATTACCTCTGGCCACAGGGTTTTTTGGCTAAGAGGTGGCTCTGCACACAAAGTGAACAGCCCTGTGAAGAGCTCAGGGCTTCTGATTTGCTCAGGAGATATTGGCAGATCAGGGAAACTCAAGGAGACGGAGCCTATGCAGAAAGATGTGCCCTCTCTTCCCCCAAAGAGAAAGCAACCTGGCTGTTTGTGGTGCATTTTCCTGTAGAAATTTCGATTAGAAACTACATTCAAATAGTGAATTCCCCATTGCCATGTAACTAAATTCCTTTTTACTTAACTTAATAGAGTCTGATGGATTTTACAAAAAATCTAATTTAATGTAATTTAATCTCAAATACCCCATTGATTTTGTGGTAGATTTATTTGTGATCGCAGTCACAAAGCAATTCTCTATTCACTCCTAATCATATGCTGCTGACACGAGATGAGACAATCACCTCACGCCCCTCCTTCTCCCTGACTTCTGATTGCCCTATTTTTCTAGAGGACTAACAGAAATCAGATCGCAGACAGTGTCTGGAAAATAAACCCAGGGACCTCCAGCTTCTTGCTGAGGGAGTCTTACAATTCCCAGGGTCCAAGCTGGCCAGGCCCTAAGCAGAGCAGGAGCCAACGGCGAGCTGCGTGCTTACGTCAGGGCTGGACTGCCCCTCTGAGCTGTGTGCTGGGATTTTCAACACATGCAGAATTTCAGAGTGATTTGGGCTTCTGAAATACATGGCGCTTCTCTGGAAATCCCAATGTGTGATCAAAAAGAAGCTGAGTGGGGTTACTGTGTTGGTGTGAAAGGAATTTATGCCACCTCTTGCTATGTGGGAGAGGGCTGTCAGAGCCAGGGTGCCCAGGGCTTTATGAGATGCCTCCCAAGTGCTGCGGGCTATGCTAAAATGACAAGGACTGATGTGTCGGCTGGGGAAACAGGATGGGGACGTAGGGCTGCTGTGCCTCTGAACTTACAATCCACAACCTTTGATCCCCAACTTCTATTGGAAATGGCAAGAGATGGACTTTCAACCCTCCCTCACAAGGATGGGCAGGACAGTGTTAGCCGTGCAGGGCACGTGCCATGTGGCCTCCCACTTTGGGGAGCCCTCCTGAGATGACTCAAGATACGGAGGTGATGGTGACATCCCTGCTGTGGGGGGAGCTGGGAAAGCTGTCTTCCTCCCTCCCCGCCTTGTCTCCTGTCTCTTTGGCTCTGCGTCACTCGGATCTGACTGCTGGATGATGAGACAGCAGTGAATGGCAGGAACCGGTCCCCTGCCTGAGCAGAGGAGGAGCAGACGCCTCGTGGGAACTGTTACCAGCGCTTGATGCTTCGCCTGCACTGCTGACTCCGTCTTCATGGTCTCCTGACTTCTGACCTTGCCCTCTGGGGCCGCGGCACCTCCCCTGCTCCTGCTGGTGGCCGAGGTGGCTGCTCCTCTGGACATCTCCAGCTCGATCTCAGCATCCATCTCAGCATCCTCCTTGGCCTCCTTGTTGCTCTCCTCCAAGTGTTTCATCAGCACTGCCACCACCACGTTGACCAGGACAAACTGCGCGATGAGGACGAAGGTGACGAAGTAGACAGGAGAGATGACGGGCAGGTAACTGAGGCAGTGCTTGTCTTCCCGGGTGCATTCCCGGAGAGTGTCCTGAAACAGAGAGGGAGAGGCGAGGGTTTGAAAAGAGCTGGGGCTCTGTATACAGAAACCTCACACACCACCTGCTGAGGGCTGAAAAGTATACAACAACATATCCCAGACACAATGGCTTGTGGGTACAACAACCAAAACAGAAGAAAATGTGGGCCCTATGGATTACACCATCTGCAGCACAGTTCTTTAGCTCTGGACCCAAAGAGGAGGATTGTGTTATGTTCCAAAGGCACAGAGCACACGCTTAGTCTCATCAGCCACAGCAACTGGGGCAATTTCTCAGAAATATAATTTATACGTTGCAGAAGTATAATTTGAAGGCTAAAAAAAATGATGCTTCAGGTTGGGCAAGACTTATGCCAAGTGATCCCTTGAAAATAACGCTGGAGTTTAAATGTAAGAGTTTAATTTTGATATTTTAAAAGGAAACTAACTTTGTTTTTAAAGCCCTGTTTTGACACAAGGGGTGCCTAAATCTGTTTAAAATCTGTATTTGTGTTTCCACTGACAGAGGAAAGTACCCAGGCAGAGACTGCACACACCTTCATGATACCATTCCAGTTGTCCCCTGTTGACACCCTGAAGAGGGTGAGAAAGGCCATGCCGAAGTTGGTGAAAGTTGCGTGTCGGCTCAGACCTTCGCAGGGATTTTCTTCACTGCAATCTGCAGGAGAAAGAAGTGGAAGCAGGTCAGTGAAGCCAGGTTTCCCAGTTCTCATTTACATTCGGCCTTTTGGTTCACCAGCATTACAGTACGCAGTTGGGACACCTGATATCTGGGCTTTCTCCATGGCCGTGGCATTATGGCCTGTTGTATCCAGAGCTGCCTCCCTGCATCTGCCTGCACATCCCTGTGATCCACAGCGTCAGGGAAGACCCTGGCTGCTAACAGACAATCTCACCACAGTCTGCAACTCCTGAAGCCACTACTGAAACCAAGGAGCCAAACTTTTCCCAGCGGAGGCAGACAACATCCCACCTGCAGGATGATGCAGCCCTGGGACAGATCACCAGAGAGCTGGGGGAGCTTCATCCTTGGAGGTTTTCAAGATTTGGCTAGACACAGCCACAGCTGCCCTGATCTAGCAATGAGGCCTTCAGTGGGAAGTCGAACGGGGGTCTCCAGAGGTCCTTTCCACCAACATTTCTGTGATTCTATTGACTTTGCCCCAACAGGCAGAGTGAACACAAAGAGATTTAAAAGGAGGTGGAAACAAGCAAGGTGTTGCTGCACTGTCTCAACAAATACCGCTCTACAGTGTGCTTTGTCTATTACCTTCTTGATTATGTTCCTTGTCTTGATTATTTTTTACAGACACATCTACTGTAAGGGTTATTTCACTGGAATAAAGTAGAGCAATTTGACATTTTTTTCCCCTGAGAGTTAATATACTAATGAATGTAAATTGACCACATGAAATTCCCCTCTTTCCATAAAACATGGGCTCATTAAGTTTTCATTAGGACAGGCAGCAATGCCTCTTGCAAGGGCGTTTCTCTACCAGACATTTATTTCAGATGCAAATAGGAGGGAAAAGAAAACCAATAACAACAACAAAAAAGCAAAACAAACCCCACAAATGACCAGCCTTGTGGGGAGTGAGTGATTGTGGTTCTTGTGGCTGACATAGATCAGCAGTGATTTGGAAGAGGAAGAGAAAATGTTTCCCAATCAAAGTAGGGAAGGCAGGTGGTGTGCTGATTGCCTGCAGTTTGGGTGCTCACCCCAGAGGAGACGCAGTGGCTGGCACTGGTGAGGGGTGCGTGTGGAAACACAAAAAGCATTCAGAGCAGCAGAAAGTGCCTCTGTGAATGAGACATTCTTCATCTCAGTGGACAAACAAATGCATACGTATGTATTTATATGTGCAATATAAAAAATACACAGTATTTCATTTGGGGTGGATGCAGAGCTGATTTTTTCCAGAATGTGTAGAGACTGAAAAATAATTTGTCTTGGGTTGAAAGAAATATTTTGCTTTCAGGCATTTGTAATATGAGCAGAGGGCTGAACTCATAAAGGGGATTAATGACAGCAATAAAATCGCCGTGGAGGAAAGGCCTGTCTGATGCTCTTGAAGCCCTAATTAGGATGTGAGCATTGAGAGGGCTGCAAGACGGCAGACATGTCTCCTTCAAACAGCATGCTCAATGGCAGGGACTCCCTTGGCCTGGCTAAGCTGAGCACTGTAGGGCTACAGAGCCTTTCCTCTCTGACTCCACCTGATTTTCTTTTGAACGGTGGACATGTTCATGACCAGCTCTGCAGTACCCTTGAGCAGGAGTAATAAATGATTCTGCTGGACAATCAGGAAGCCAGTGGATGCTTCCTGATTTATCAGAACGGGGAAGGTGATGCTGAGAAGTACAATGGACAGATAAGACTTGGGCAGCTGGAAGAGCAATGTCAGCCAAGTGCAGAAAACTAATGGAGTGTGGTAGAAGCTCTGAGGAGGGACATGTTTATGGTGGCATATTTCCAACATGGATCTGATTACCATCCAGCTTTGCAGACTCATGCGCTGTCTTAAGTAGCAAACTTCCATCTTTGTGAACACGTCCATGCTGGACAATTATATTTAAACAGTAAATAGTTTCTCTACAGCCAACGGTGGTGTTGGACAAATCTCTAAAAGTGTGTGCGTGCACATTAGACAGGTTCTGTATTACATCCTCGTGTCATCTGTGACCCTGAGATCAAGAGAAAGCTTTAATCTTTAGAGTGCAAGCTGTGAAGCTAAGGAAGGCCCAAAGAATGAGAGAGAAAAGAAAGGGAACAGCTAGATACCAAATAAATATAAACCGGATGAAATAAATTGTGTCAGGCACATTACTCACCTAGCTTGCCAAACAATTCCACTCCCAGGGCAGCATAGATAAAAAACAGGAGCATAAAAAGAAGGCCAAGGTTCCCTACCTACACAAGGAAAAAGCAGAACAAGGGTCAGGCAAGTTGAGGTCACAAATGAAATTGCTCTATCGCATTTTAAATACAAGTAAAAGAGAGACACTGGTGGCCAGAGGTTAATCATTGTCTCCCCTGGCTTCCAACGCCCTGGCCCCCTTTCACGGTTCTGCTTCAACAGACCCAGAGAGGAGCCTCCCCTGCGGGTGAAGGACCAAACGTTCCCAGGAGCAAAGTTGCCTCTTCTGTGCATGGTGCCTCCCCATCCCCCTTCCACTTAGAGGGACGCCGCCTTCATCTACAATTTGGCCAAGCAGTAGCTGTAGCCTCAGGGGCACTTAGCACTGCACTCGAGTGCTGTGGTCATTTGAGAGACCTGATGCTCTGGTTTGAGTTTTAAGGGCCTTTCACTTCTGCTTGCCAGGCTGCAGATGGAGGCTGAGGGTTTCAAGACCAAGACGTTGACAGGAAACGGCTCAATCCACCAGGAGGAACTGGTGGGTTTTCAAAACTCTCGGTGGCCTGGAGAGGCATTCAGAAAAGGAGCATATGCCCCAGCAAGGGGGGAGTAAAGCTCTCCTTGTCTTGCCACAAACATTTGCAGATATTTCTCAACAAGAACTACCTGAATGTTAAGGCATGCAAAGCCTTCAGCGTCTAAAAAGAAAAGCCTTATACCATGCATCAACCCTTAGATGCAGGCAGCTCGCAGTATGAACATTGCACGGGGTGCTGCTGTGAGGTATTAATATGCATTTACAAAGTGGCTGGAGAGGATGGTAATGGAAGTGGAATAATGCTAAAAAGAATATAAAGCTTATTAATAACAATGACATTACTGTTACCCACACCGGAGTGAATCACTACACGAGGTCTAAGACTACACCACTTCGCAGGGCAGATGCTGTTTGCGACTCAGAGAGCACGAAGGGCAGAAAACCCTGACCGGCTAACCACGTCGATTTGACCCGTGACTCTGGCCACGTTTACCTGTCCTGCCACTTTTAAACGCCTTGGGTCTATAGCTCTATAACAGAGCGAGAGCGACCAAGCTCTCCAGGCTGACGTATTGTCACAGGCATTACTTTATCTCTACATAAAAATGAGCTAGATGGTATTAAGATTTAGGTAGCCAGGCTGGGGGATTCGAGAGGCATCTTGTAATGAAATGCTTCAGTTTGACGGAGCTTTCTCCTCTGAGGCAGCATAGCCCCAGTGTTGCAGGATATTTTGAGCATGCTGCTTAATTTCATTAGAAAGCTGACCAGTATGATACCTGCTATCATAAAATTCCTTTTTAACAAAGCTAGCACTTATGAAGTAGGGCTTTTTTTGCATTAAAGAAACGGGTATAGTCAAAGCATCCAGTGATGACTGTAATTATTATAAGGCCTAAATCGGCTGCTACGTATAGAGCTTTGCGATTCCACTAACTTCATCACTGAACTCTAGGGAAGAATAGAGATAATACAGAGATGTGAATGGCTGCTCTGGATTATTTCATTGCATGTACTATCTTCTGGAATAGTTTTTCCTAACTTATGTCTGCTGGACTGCTGACGGTTTGTAAGACATTAGAAGGTACTCTGCAAAATGACTGCAAGTCAAAGAAAACCTACAGGAGAACAGGCACATGCACACAAGTGCACACACACCCTGTCAGGGAGGCAAATGAGCAAATAATTAAAGGGAAGGAAAATAAAAGTGATAAACGAGTTTTCTAAGTTGAGCGTAAATTAAAGTCTGATGCTGTAGCACTGCAGAATAGGATCTTGTTTTTTTTTTCAAAGAAGCCTATAAACCAAATATTTTACTGCTATTTTAATACCTCATAACTTAGCCTGCAAACTTTTCACTCTGATGAAATTCCAAAGAATTTACCTTAACAGCAAAGTTATTATCAGGTTACCAGTCAAAACAGTTATCTAGCTCTCAATACATAAAGCGTAACAGCCTTGCATGTGGAAGCACTGACGACTGGTAATTTTGAACTGATGTGGCATTTGTTGATAAACAAATTGCCCACTATCTAGTGTGCATTTGTAACAACATTGTGTGTTTACGACTGTTGGCTATTTCCGTTACTGAACTGTGTCTTGTAACCAGTCCTTCAAAGACTACTTCACACTCATAGAGTTGTTGCACATGCTCAGTGTATCACAGCCATGTGCATGCTCTAAAAATGCAAAGGGCAGTGTGTTCACTAACGTGCTGCTTGCTAGTGTCTACAGTGACATCTGCCCTGGGCTGAGAGCACTTAAATGGGCAGTTTCAAAGCTCAGCTGACATGCAGGATCCCTTGGGAAGTGACTGAACATCTGACGCTGATGTGGAGACGCAGTCACATGGAAACCGGCAGAGATAAGGGGGAGACAGAGCATGGGATGGCTGATGGCACCACCTTTACTGTTAAACTCCAGCCCACCCTGTGTCTAGAAGCACAAGAGCACCCTGCTGCCCTGACTACCCCCGGCAGACGTAATGTCCACAGGGACATGCGCTGGCCGCCAGACTGGCTCCTGGCATTGGAGAGGGCAAGAGATTCTCAACAGCCCGAGAACGCTTGATGCTTGAGACAGTCGCTGAGCAAAATGGCTCACCTCTTGCTTAGCTCCTTCAGCACAACCACTTTGTCTACTTGTGCAGCTTCTGGCTGTGCTGCACCAAGACAAGCGAGTGGCAGATTGAGTATGTTGTCTGTGCTAGGCCAGGGCTCACTGGGGCATGCCCCTCATGACAGGGAAGCTATGCAGCCCATGGCCTTCACCAGGACCGGAGCACAGAGAAGGAACTAAGGCGAGTTCTCACAGATGGGCTGGGGAGCAGGCAGCAAGGTCAGCCAGGGACTGCTGAGCAGCAGAGAAAGCAGACTGCATGTGCATCTGTGACCTTGAGTGAGTCATTCCTCTCCCGTAACTCCACGTACCCATTTACAATACCCTTGCAGGGAGGTAATTAATGTCTCTAAAGCACTTTGAGATCTACTGAGACCAGACAAGGAAAAGATCATGCATGAATCATGTTGCTGTGAGAACAAGAGGGGGAAAGTGCACACCCAGGCACTTTTCCCCAGCAGCCAAAGGCTCTGCTGGACTCTCCATCAGGGACAGAGATCCAACTCTGGTCAGCAATTGCATCTTTGGCAGCTCATCACCCAGGCCAACTCTGCAGAAGTGGTTCCGCTCTAGCAGCTCTGAGCAGCTCGGCCCATTCTCTATTTATCCATAGAACTCCCCCTGACTTGGGCCGGTTGCCTTTGGCTGGGCAGAGAAAACTACAACTCCCCACTCTCCAGCAGTGGGGACCATCCATCATTTGCTGTGGCTGCAGTGTCCAGGGGAGGCTGGAGCCTGTGGAGAGCGAAGCAGAGGGGAAGAACATCCTGGAGGTGCTCTTGGTGCCCTAAGGTACCTCAGAGAAGCCACAGAAGAAGATGGAGCCACTGGTGAACGTTTGCATTTCCTGGACCTTCACATCCTTGCACCCTGGCTTCACTTCACTGCTGGCCAAAGTATCTGTGTGTCCAACGGAGAGGGGTCAAGTCCTCCACCCCACCCAGAGGAGCAGGCAGGCCTTGGGTGATGAGGCATCATCCTTCCCCACAGAACGTATGGCAGATCACAGATCTAGCTGGGATCTACCTTTGCAGATCCCTGGACTAAACCTGCTCAGCAGCAAGGAAAGCAGTACACCTCTCCACACGTGTGACAAAACCCTTCCTCCACGGCCCCTGCGTGGCTTGGGAAAGCTGTCTCTCCTTCACCTATCGCAGACATCACTGTCATTAGCACTGTGTCTAGTTTTTTGCTTCTCCCTAAGGGAAACTGTGGTAGCTAAGCACTACTGTATGTCCAGCCATTAATTAGACCTCTGATCTATGTCACTAAGGAAAAAGCCTTTATCTGCAGGCACTGAGATGTAGAGCAACTACACCAGGTTGTGTTAGCTTGATATACAAGTTGTTGTGAGGCAAACCAATGTCAGGCTATAGGGACTGTGATGCGTGCTCCCTTCTGGACCCAGGCCAGTCATGCTGTCAAAGGGACATAATGGACGCGATCTGCACAGTCCTCCCTTTTCTCAGTTTGCCTCTGTATTAGATCATACTGCTATCAGCAAAGTCATATCTTCGGGAAACTGCTGTGCCTCTACTCCTCATCTGCACATTACACGGGGATAGTGGTTTTCACCTGTTGCGGGAATGCTGAGATGCCAACTCCCACAGGCAAGTTATTACCACACTGATCATGTGCACCAGGACACAAGCCACTTGGGCACCATCATGTCTACGCTGCACTGCTGGCCTGTGTGATCCCACCAAAATCTCTCTGAAGCCTGCTGGCCTCGGCCTCTACATCTACCTCTCCCTGCTCCGGCTGAGGCACTGATGAAAGACAAGTCTTCCGCTCTCCTGCTCCTGTGATAGCTGGCTGAAACACACTACAGCTCCTCTTGCATGTCTTGCTGCTCTGACATCAGTTATTTCTGCATCACTGGCCCACACCTACCCTGGCATTTCAGCTGTCCATGCAGGCAATGCACATGGCTCCCTGGGATGCCTGTCAAGAGCAATTTCTCATAAAACTAAGCCTTTGCCAATCCTTTCCAAGGACATGAGTCCACCTCGTCTTCCTTCCAGCACTATCCAGCCAAAGCAATAAGCCTTGAAGCGGGAAAACACAGGCTAATTTATGCACAAGACCCAAGAGAAAACGGACACGTTTGTCAGCTTGGAAAACGGATGCCATCTGTGTGGATTCCAGGACTAGTGGAAAAGGCCAGACTGACAGCCTTGGAGGCTTATTTGTGCAACCACAAGGCCACTAGCAGAACTGCATGAGCTCCCCTTTTTGTGCATCCACTCAGTCCCACAAGGAACAGTGCTAAGAGCCAGCAGAGGGGTGGTTTCTTTGCCTGATGTTTTCTGCTTTTCTACTGACATATCTCAGGCATCTATGCAAGGTTTTCTGGTATGCAGCATAGCACACACCTACCCATCTTCCAGAATCGGTCTCATCTGCAGGACTTGCCAGTAAGACATTTCTGTTCTTGCTGTCTGTGCTTTATAATCATCGCGGGTTTTCAGCATCTGGCAAAAGCAGGCTTTTGTTTATATCCCATAACTGCTGATAGACAATGCCAAAAACATCTTCAAAAGCTGAAGCTGAGGTAAGCACAGGAATTTTAACACCAAGAAGAGTTAAACTCTGGACAGGAGCAAACTACAGACTCTGTCCTTCAGGGGACTGATGGAACGAGTTGTTCTTCACGTTTTTCTTGGCACAGACTTTATCTGGGGGGAGTTCCAAGCTTTGAAGACAAGGAGGAGGTATACTGAACAATTCTCCATTTAATTAATGTGCCTTCCACAGACCAAGTGAAAAAAAAAAGAAGGAAAAAGAACTCAGATCTTTTAGACAGATGGGGCTGGATTTCACTCTTAGTCAGAGTGGTGCAAATCAGGAGTCATTGCAACAGAATTAGAGTGGAAAAAAATGAGCGTCAGGAAAGAGAAGTAGAAAAAACAGACCATCTTGCAAAACAGGACCCTTTAGGCGCTCAACTATGTCTTATATTTCTGTAAATGTATCATTCTCTGTAGACTTAAAAAAATCCCAGGTACTTTCTAAAGTGAAATCACTGCTTGAAAAAGGACCATGGAAAACCAGTA